AGGAGGGGAGTGGTGGGTCACTACTTCCGTTTGAAATGGTGTCATGCACAGTACTGGGGAAAGTAAACATACACAGTGTGGACCCATCAAGGGTGATGCCAAGCATAGAACGGGTTGAGAAGAACGTGCACGTCGGGTTGGAGAGAGGATTGCGCCTTGGGGGTAGCCATACATGGACATTGTCGCAAGCGTGTGATCGTCGATTGTTGCTTGCACTGCAGAGTGGGAAGAAGTACGCGTATGCATGGAATTATTGAAGAAGTCGTTCGACATTGGTCAACAATGCAGATGCGCGAATGCGAAAGCAAAAAGGAAGGCGAGCGTAAAAAAAGGAGGACAATGAAGGAGAGGAAACGCAAGCGGCAGAGCAAGGAGTGGGAGGGATGGGAGGGATGAAAGACAAAAAGTTGGGAGGAGAGGGATGAGCAACTATTGTGCAGGTTGTTATGAAGTGGACTGGCTGCTTACGCTTTACGTTGAAACTGGGAGGGGACGCCGTAGTCAGTTCAGTGGCATCATTGCAGGATCTGAGGTTCGGTGCGGGCATTGCAACAGCAGATTGGAGAGACGAGTGCAGTGATGTTTATTGCCTATGTTGTAGCAGGCAGAGTGCCTGCTGGTAGGACGCTTGCGAGTGGAGGACTTGACTAGAGAGAACAGAAGCGACAACATAGGGTTGGGGGAAGAGGGTTGGGGAGATGGTGGAGGTAGGAGGAAAGGAGTGACGAGTGCAAGTGCGTCATTATATGCTCTCGATCTTCGGTATTCGATTACATAATCGCTTTGATATATAGTTTAAAAGTAAAACCAGATTATATTATAAGTCAAACAGAGTGATTGTTAACAGTATTAATATATATAATTGCATATTATCTTACCAAAGGTACTATAATCAACTTACAAGTATAATGTATCACTTTTATATGTATTATAATCAATCAACTACTGTTGTATATTTAATTATATATAATTTTAACATATTACAATAAAAGTTAAGTACTTGTGTCTCACATATAATATTGTAGTAATAATGGTATTAACATTACTTGCTTTAAAAAACACTTGTAGTATAATACAATTTTTGTATAATTTTTACATTTACATACAATTGTTACAATTTAATTATGTGCCAAGTATAATTGTTATTTTAGATTGTAATAGATATATAACTACATTATTAAATTACATTTGCTATTATTAATTACATTTGTTGTGACTTTTTCGTGATGTTCGTAGAGCGTGTATTGTCACAATTGTTAAGGATGAACGTGGAAAATCATTACATAAATACATGTCGAAAGTCCAACAAATCAAATTTCGTAGCACAGATAGAACATTTAAGTAATAATGCTGTGCCAAACCACCCGAATTACTTCCTTATAGATGATTAATATGTTCACCAGAGCATGGTTTTCTGCACGTCTAAGTAGTAAGATGCATGTGTATCCTGCTCCCTTTGTCTCAACTTGTTTTTTCACAACAAGACTTGCAGTTTTCCCTCTTGTTTCTGAGCCCGTGTCTTGTACTCCTCTATGCAATAGTCTTAGCCATTTCCAGTGATCAGAGTACTAATTACCTGACTATATGATTACATTGCACCAATCAAAGAAATCCATTACTCAGTCACAGTAATCCACGTGCAATTACTGCATTTTGTCTCAGATTTCAATCAACTCGCCACCTCACCTCAACCACCATCATTAGGTCATACAATTCGAATATTGGTGGATAGTCAGTTTTTTACTTCTCTGTTGCAAGCATATTTAACCAGTCTCTTAGACTCATGTTGTGAAGCCATCCAACATTCAACATGGCAGACCAGACTCACCAGAGTATGGATCAATCACAAATACTTAAACTAGCATATGAGTAATTATCCATCTACTGCTTCAAATCTGTGTAACACAATAGCACATCCACTAATGATGGTGGATGGTTTAGACATCAGCTTCAAAGTGCTTGTTCTCATAATTACTATTGTGCAAGTGTACCTACAGTAAGAGAGCATCAGAGACTCATGGAGCTGCCACTGGAGGGGTTTCAGCCACTCCCGAATGACATACGTTTCCCAGAGACAATATACGAGATATCCGAGTTTTCAGGTACTTCTGGTTTCCACAGTATTTGTGTTTGTTGTTTTTGAAATCTGAGCTTTTTTGTGTTATGTAGAGAGGATCGAGCAAGGAGATTTTTGGAGGCATATGGATGTCCTGTCAAAGAGGAGATTGATCTGGAAATGTTGAGGCTTTACACAACCATTTTTGTCATAATCAGGTTTGAGTCTGAAATTCCAGGGTGATGCAACGAATTTGCATACAGAAAAGATACTAAAATTGTTGCTGTAGGTCTTCATCTTTGCTGAATTTAAGTGTAAGACATTCATCATCCTCTGTAGGCATGATTGCCTTGTCTTCCATAATAATGATCCGTTCTAGCTTGTGTTTACAGTCGAGTTTGTTTGATTTTATCACTACTGTTATTTTTAGTTATGCTCAACACTCAAGAGTATTGGATAACAGTTGCTTCTATTGTTTTAGTAATGTGTACTGTTATGAATGACAAATAAATTTAAAGAAGCCAGACATGTAACTTTGGTTAATGTTGACCATGCTTCAAAAAGTGGAGATCATACACATCACTATGCTGAGATAACTTGTACCACACCCACTACTCCCCTGTCCGACCGGAGACCAGTTTAACTGTTTCCTACACTACATATATATTAATGTATGCTGACAATGATTGCCTCAAGTTGTGCGAGTCTGGCTTTCCATGCTTGAATGCTATCCTTGTCCCTCTCGCACTGCATTTCCATCTCCCACTCATCTTGATTATGTCGTTCTCCCATTTCAAAATCATCATGTTCATACTGTGCCCACAGTTCTTCCTCATCTTGTTCACAATGTGCTTGTGCTTGCTACTCATCAAACTTGCACTGTCTTTGCATTTCCCACTCATCATAAGCATACAGGTCTTGCATTATCTGTTCAACTTTGGCACACTGCTGTCAAAGAGCATTGGAACAATTATCATTACTCTCATGGGTCTACAATGATGTATCAATGGACGATAGAGGTGAGAGGGAATGATGGACATCTGAATACTTACAGTTGAAGATTGGTCTGGTGTAGACAGGGACATCACTGTATGTGATTATGAGGGGCAGGGTGCCAGTGCTCGAGTCTGGATTATAAAGTAAGTTTGGATTGTCTGAGGTATAATGATAATAAATGTCACATTCTATCTAGCATTCAGCTCTCGTGAGACATAAAATCACATGTATTGCTTGTAGCTGTATTGACCTTACTTATGATGTCAATCAAAAACATATACATGGTTAACATAGGTTGGCACAGCTACTTCAAATAGTAAGGTTATCAGTAAGTAAGGTAAACTACATTGAAAGAAGGTTGAACGATTGAAGAACAAGGAGCTTGGTCAAGTCAATTATCATGGGACAGGTCTATTTCGAGTCTCAGGGGTTGAAGCACTGTACTAGAAACATGCCAAGAGTACTACTCTTGGCATGTTTCTTGTAATTTCTTATAGACTTTATAAAGTAACATATGTATTGTATATACATTGTAAAGTAATTGTAAGGTTTTTAAACAAATTGTAAGGTTTAAATGAGACATGTTAATGTATATAAAGACTATATAAGCTCTAAGGATGAATAAAATCTATTACATGTATTATACTAACTTTGTATAACAACCTAAAGTATTATGCTTGTATTATATTTAAATTATAATCTTAAGGAAAAGGTTATATTTATAATATAATAATGTAATAATAACTATTGTTAAGTTATACTTTATACAAAAGGTATATTAATGTATATAATAGTGTAAGAGTACTTGTTGTATCATTATTATCTTAATAAAAGTATACTATAAGTATATAATATGTATATTATACTTAGATTATTTATACAAATAGTTTGTAATATTTGTATAAAATATTTTATCTACTTGTAATAATTACATTAGTGTGTTCAGAAAGCAATATACATATCATATTACTTTTCACTATATTACAAAGATCAACAATTTTATTTAATACTTAAATACAATATTTTTTAAAATATTCTATCAGTTGGCGACTGATACTTAACTTGCTTATGTAATCGACTGCTGAAGATCGAGAGCATATAATGACGCACTTATGCGTGCCACTCTTTCTCTTCGACCTCCACCATCTCTCTAAGTCTAACCCTCTGCCCTGCCACCCATGTCGTTGCTTTTGTCCTCTCTAGTCTTCCCCCTCTTGCAAGCATCCTACCAGTAGTACTAGCTGCCACTCCGCCTTCAACAATGTAGACAATAAACATTGCTGCCACTCGTCTCTCCGATCTACTGTTGCGATGCCTGTACTAAGTCTCAGATTCCGTGCAGCTGACTACACTGTACACTTCCAGCCTCAACAACGTAAAATGTAAGCAACCGGTTCACTTCATAATAACCTGCGCAATAGTTGCTCATCCCTCTCCTCCCAACTTTTTGCGTTGCCTCTCCTTTGTTGTCCTCCTTTTTTTACGTTCGTCTTCCTTTTTGCATTCGCATTCGCATTTGCGCATCTGCATCGTTGACCAGTAGCGAACGACTCCTTCAATAATTCCATGTATCCGCGTACTTCTTCCCACTCTGCAGTGCAAGCAATAATCGACGAGCACAAGCTTGCGATAATGTCCATGTACGACCATTCCTATGGTACTACCCTCTCTCTGATGCTGTACGTGTTCTACTTCTCCATTCATTCCATGCTTGACATCACCCTTGACAGGTCCACCTACTTGTATTTACATTCCTCGTTGCCGTCCATGACACCATATCAACTGGATACAGTGGTCCACCACTCACGCCACCCGAGATGAGTTGAATCCGTCCACATCTTCCACTTCACCCTCACCCTTCGAGCCAGAACGTCCCAGAGATACACCTTTGTAGTCATCCGCGACGGCTCAGTTTACCGCACCTCCGATTGTGAGATGTAGCCAGAGCATGCAACGTGCATTTACAGACACGGCTTCGCTTGCTGCTCAAATCAGTTTGTTCAACACTCCGGATCTCAACCCCGGTGCACTATTCACACTCGCTACACGCCGTCGCGGTGCATTCATCTCTTTACTTCAAACACCCGCACTCGCTAACAACCCCTTGCCCCCTTAGCAAGTCAACCTCCAAATCTGCCCCACAAGTGCAACCTCGACCTCTGCAATCCATACAATCTCACAATCCACACACAATCCAACTTGCAGGGACCGAGTGGCAACCAAGGCATGGTGACAAAGACTACCTCAAACGGCTGAGGAACACATTTGTTCTCTATTGTCAATACACTTGCCATCTGTCGTCAGATTATTTCCCTAATTGTTGTAGATAATAATGTATTTATACAATATTTCAATATAATTATAAACTGTTATTTCAATAACAAATGGATATAAGGAAAATTTTATCTTATACATCTTATATTTATATGTTTTCCTTGTTAAAATAACAAGTATTATAATACTTAGCTATTTTGTGAGGTACACTTTAAGCACTTGTATATCTTAGTAAGTACTACAATTCTTATTATTCTTGACCAGAAAGTCAAGACTTTTTAATAGCTTTCTTAGCTTCTTATTACCTTCCTAAAACCCTTAGGTACACAATAAGCTCTTATACATAATGTAGAAAATATATATAATTTATATGCATATAAGCTAATACAAAGTTTGAGATATTTTCCTGATGATTTCGGAAGGGTGTACCCGCGTGCACAAAAATGAGATCCACTGCAAAGTTATGATCAATGATGGTCCTCACAGCCAGGACGTTCGGTAAGAATCGTGTCGGATATGTTAAGACATCTGACCTTGTCAACTGGGTTCTCTTCATTGGAGTCGATTCCAATAGGTACAACATTGGCATACGTTTCTTCGTCTCTATCCATGTCAAGGTTCGCGAGTTCTGCAGCCACAGTGGCCACAATATTACCAACCGTAAGTGCAAGAGAAGCTCTCAATGTTCTATGTACGTTGCTTGTGGTTGTCTGACGAGAAGATCGTGCCGAGTCACAAAAATCATGTCCTGTAACTCGAATTGAAAGTCTACGTTACGAATAAGACACTCCCACGATTCGAAATGCTTGAGAATGTACTGCTGCAGAGGAAGGTGAAGAACTGCATCTAGACGCTCCACACTGTGCTCCAGGCAGCATGGTGACTGGAAGCATTAAAGTTTACTCTTACAACAGGCAGCTCCTTTTACTTCTTCTCTTGTCTGCTGATGGTGTTGCAGTGACTTCTGGTACTTCCAGTACTCTCCTTATACCAACCAGTGCCACACAGGCTTAAGCAAACAATGCAACCTCTGCACCAACTCCAACTCCAACAACAATCCAACCTACTCTCTCCTCGTCCACGTCTACATCCTGTCCAACAAACTTCAGCATCTGCTCCAAAGGTCCCTTATAATACATGAGCATCCTTGCAAGTGCACACAGTCCTGCACATGTGTTGGGTGTGAGTCTCAGGAGGGCTACAAACACTCTGTGTTTGGTTTTAGTGGTGCTGGTGCAACCACCACTTCTACTTCGAATTCACTGTCTTCTTCTGCTCTATGGGAGCAGGAGCAGAACTGTCTTCGAGTGTGCCAATGGTTGTTGGTGTGCCTTCTGACGGCGTAGGTTCGGGGCTGGGGAGACCTGGGTTCTGTCTGACGTGAATACCAGCACCTTTCCTTCTCATCTTATAGATCTCTTACATATTACTGATAATTTAATTTCATGCTATTCGGATTTGGAACGAAACATATATGAAAAAATCAAATAGGCAGCTACACCCGTCCAGCCAGACGCATACGCCTCCTTCAGTACAGGTGTGAAACAAAAAGATATTGATTTATTCACTGCTGTGCATCCGTCACCTGCTATGTCTGCAAATGGGAGTGTGTTGTTGAGTATTCTGTATCAAGTCCCTTTGTGTGTCCTCCCCTTCTCCCCTCCCTATTCGTCCTAAACTCATAAGATTGTCTTGGAAAGATCAACCTGACATGACCACTTTTGATCTTTTTCAACAGTTCTGTGCATGTAGAGCAGTGCACCCTGTAGGCTCAAGCGTGACAATGCTCAGCAGGTTCGGGTTCCTTTCTTGTCTTCACAGACTCTTGGTCGACACGCTTGTAGAGGTGGAGATGGTACTCGCAGACGAGAGCATTGTCTTTGTGAGCAAGAACTAGCATCCTGGTCAGTCTTCTTTCATTTCCCCTTCACCATTTAGACTACACTCTGACCACAAAATCAGAAGTCGAAGATTGAAATATAAAGGCAAAGTGCTAATGAACGATCTCTTTATTCTGGGATGAATATGTTTATAGATGTATTGTTAAGACGAGACTACACGAGAGTATGTCTCAGATGATATAAACTACATTACAAGCAATGACGAACGATGATGGAATACCTTCCATCATACATTCTACATCTGAGACATACCTACATAGTATATATAGACTAACTAATCAACAGACAATGAAGCAAGCTGTGAGAGAGCAAGCCGAGTCTACTATCCCCCCTCTTTGTGTGATCCCTCTAAGCCTCTCACATAACCTCTCTTTCCCCTTTCTTAACAGGTTATGAGCCTTGCACTCCCTGCCTATGCTTTATCTACACTCTACAATGTCTATGCTCTATGCAGTTCTATGTATCACATGCACACACACAGCATACTACAATGCAGAACTTGACTCACCTGTCTGAGTATCCCAAACACGAATCAATACACTGTGAATGCACAATCCACTGTACTACATACGACCCAGACATTATATGATTGTCATCTTAGTGATTATGATCATTGGCCCAGTAGTAATGTAATCTATACAGGCAATGTTGAAACTATGATGAGTATCACTTACTGCAATTATTAAATGCTAAAATATTCTATAATATCACAGAGATCATGTTATAATAAATTAACTGATCATACTACAGACAAACGTTAAAAAGATTAATAAAGCAAACACTACTCTTCTGCTATTAACATTACAATAGTACAAATGATTGACACTGTCAACAAACAAACATACTATGTTATAGTATAAATCAAATTATAACACATATAGTAATATCACAGCTGAACAATTAATGCTCAAAACAAGCACATATATGCTAAACAACATATTAAATTGAATAAATAAAACATTTAACATGTATTATAAACAATAATACAATTGCAGACACTATAATAACAACAATAATAACAATAATAATAATAATAATACAGATAGAACTAACAGAACAAATACAGAACAATATTATAACTAACACATATTATGGTTGAGTGATTATATGTAACATATCAGATTCAGCAGTTACATGTTGGATATTGTGATTACTTATTGGATACTGAATATAATATGCATATCCAAGATATACAGACAAGTACAGATATACAAAAGTATAATGAATAACTACAAACCAAAAAACAATGCTACAGAGCATATAAACTAACTATGCACAAAAGAATAATGTTATAACACATAAATACTGATTACAGCACAAAACAAGTGCAAAAATTATAACTATTAAACAAATGATACTATTTTACACATTAATACAATTGTGTAAATGTATACTAATAACAAACGAAAGAATTATATCTCTAATATACTTGAAACAATGCATCAATACAACTTAATTATGCAGAACGTGTTATTATGGCAGCTGATTATATAATAAATTTCTAAGTTGCAACAGCAACATCAACTGTACAGTGTATATACCTTAACAAACAATTATTAACTTTACATCATGACAATGTAGCTTGTAGGAGCAAAGTATTAAGCTGATAAGGCTATTACAACAAACAATACAAATATAATTATTATGAACACATTATTATAATAATTACAATCAAAAACAATCATAATATAATATGATTAAATAAATTAATAAAATGTTTAAGCCATTATCTTGGACAGTATAATATAAAATAGGTAATAACAGACACAAGCATACTTAATAGAACTCAGTGCATTTACTAAAAGCACTACATAAATAATAATTACAATGTTATTAAATGAATATTATACAGAAACAAACAAATTACCATATGTTTTTAACACAAAAACAAAATATTCATTCATAGTTATGAACAATTATTAATAAAAGATAACGAGTGCAAACAAAACTCGTATATTATACATAATGTGTACTTATCTACTATAACAAACAAAATACACATTATATAAGTTGACAAACGTTAACAGTAACAAAGATATAATAGTAATAACATTTAAATTACTCATTATATAACATAACAAATGTTACACACTGCTTTAAAATACTAATAATTAGAAATCGAACCACAAAAGCAATTACAATTATTATATATAAATATTATATTATAACAACAATTAATAAATGTTAAAGAAATATCCAATTCTTTGAAGAAATACCTTCTTGAATTGAAGGGGAGAAAATGGATAATATGCATGAAAAATTAATAACTAAATATAAACAACAGAACAGAAAGTATAATACTACAGACACTACAAAAAATAGAATAACAAAATGCACAGACTAAGTACTGACTAAGTAATAGAAGTCACAGACAGACATAATGGATCATAAAGGTAAATCATTTGGTATGAAGCAAAACTATGTTGATCAGAACTAAAAATAACAGAAGTCAACACAATGTACAATTGAACTTCAACATTAAATAAATAATAATTCTACTACAAAACAAATGCTCATACTTGGCAAATAATATTAATATGATAATATAATTAACTTAACAGTGTTTAACACGAAAATAAATAATATACAAACAATTATCACATCATATAACAAAATAATTCATCAATTCAGACTATAGTTCATGGATAAAAGTGATGAATAATGAAAATAATACTTTGGAATGTACATAAAACAATAAATAATATATCTATATAATAATACAAATATAATTGCAATATAATTCGCAACTACAACTGAACAATATGTAGATAATAACTATATAAACAAGTATAGAGTGTATACATATAATTAAATAAAACTATTAAATCGATTCTTGTATGAACAATTAATTTGCCCTCACTACACAATTAATACAAGTGTGAACAGCATTATAACACTATGAATTACATCAGATAGATACTAATAGGTACATCTATACAATGATTCAAATAAAATAAACAAAACCAATATACAAAACGTTTTACCTAGCAAACCAATTAACAAATAAAATGTTGAACAAATACTACAATTGTGTATAGCACTAGATTAACTAAAGAATGCTAGGAGACAATTATAGTAAACATAATCCAATATATTACTTATATGCAGATTGTGTTACAATACATTATTCTTTGCAAAAGAAAAAGCAAAGGACAATAGCCATAACATACACACATATATATATACAATACTACAATTGTGACAATTCACAATAACATTGTTAATGATAAATAATACAAACACACGTTAGTAATGATTTACAACAGATAACTATGTTGGCTATTAAAGAAACAATACAACAGATTGTATAGTTACTCAGGATGTATCAGAAACAATCAATTAACAAACATAATGTTAATAAATTAATACATAACTATAAACAATAATGTAAAGCAAACGAACAAACAATACATTCATGATATAATACATACACAATACACTTAGACACATAGTAAGATGCCTACAGCCAGACATAACATCTATGCAACAAATATACATTAGTATAAAACCTCATTGATCTCAGAATGAAGCAATCTGGCAAAAACAAATATTATTATTAATATTACAATATACAATCAATACAACACTTCAATCTGAAGACATAAATCAGCTATTGCTGAATGCTTAACACATATACAAACGTAGACAAACATGGATGGTAATGATTAAAGAAGGATATTATTGTAACATTGAATATACATTTTACTAGTATGATTCATTAGTTTCACAGCAAAGTAAAAGGAAATTACTAGAGTACTCAAACAAACTTAATAACAAACAATATGTCTGAATAACAAATGATAAAACAAAACAAGCAATTGCATTTATGATTTAAATATGTGTATATATGTACCTACACATGCTGACAAGATTCTGCAGATCTCTGAAGCATTTACAAATTATTTAATAACATTTACAAACAATCTATTGTGATAATGATGCTGTTATTGAACAGTATATTATGAACAAACAAACTAATTAAATATACTTAATTAATATAACATCAGACAAACTCAACACAAAGTGGATGACATTTGGAACAGACAGTACACAGAACAGACAATGTATTACTATAATGCTAATAATATTATTATTAACTATATCAAGTTATAAACGTGTTACACAAACAAACAATTGTACAATACAGTTATAATGATTAAACTATCTATACATACTGTAAGCAAACATCTTACAAGTCTACTAGACCTAGTAAGAGTTTGAAGGGGAGTGTTAAGACAAGACTAC